TGTTCATAGATTTTATGCAGCTCATTTGATTGCTTCAGTTTCAGAGTTATTTCATTTGAAATTAATTTGCGCATGCTTGTCTTTCATCTGTCAAAAGAAGCAAGATTCTTTGGTCATTTTTCTGAGCTTTAACCGACACTGCAAAGCCTGTCTATTGCTCGTACTCTGATGTACTGTGATACTTTGCATGAAAATTGTTTTAACAAAATAAAAGAATGCATATTATCTTACAGGTGACAAATCATTGTGAATTTTCGAAGTAGCGGGAAGCGACAGAATCAGCTGATTGTGAACAAAAACATATTTTACAATGATTCGCATCACGTTCCCAGGAATTTGCTTACGTCTGGTTTGTCACTCGAAACCTTGTCAAGGTCTTGTCGTTCAGTGTGACATGCTCAGACTGATTTCAGGCAAATGTGACCCTAGATAACATTGTGCTGCGCTGAAAATTCGATAACCTTCTGTCATTCCACTGGATTCATACGCAACGGCATATTCGCACCGTCCCTTTGTTTCTGGTAGCATAGAGATGAGTCTACTCCGAGAGCAGTGCCATGGTATTTCAGCACGTGCATGGGCGAAGGACCACACTAGATTGCTGGATAGAACAAAATCTTGCTAAAATACCCACAGGCTACTGGAAGCAAGGGAAGGGTGCAATTAAGCGGCACAAATCCGGGGAAGTGTCAGAAAGTTGTTGTTCATGCTGTCATTGTCGAAAACCAACAATAATGAACGGCTATAATTTTCATTATTTTCGATAATTTGTTCATGATTCTTTCGAATAAATCCTGCTTCTACTAGAGCCAATTGACCTATCCCAATTGGAAGTCTTCCAGAGACTGAAGGACCATAACTGAAAAAGAATATGAGGCTATGAAGATAGCAGCGGTAGTGCTGAATAGCAGCGGTAGTGCTGAAATTTTCTTAAGCGTCGCATATGCTCGTCACATGTACGAGTTTGAACTTTGCCGGCTTGTTCTTTTTCCGTGCATAGTATCCTTTCTGCTAAACTTTCAGTCTTTCGGTACGGGAATATTTTCGAAGCAAATTTCTGTGATTTAAGTCTATGATGATTTGTAATTCAGAAGAACATGTGCAATTTTTCGATGCTTTAAGCAAAAGTTACTTTCTACTTGGAAGTGAAGAGGAATAAGTTTTACTCAAATGAATCACACTCTGCGAAGAAATACTGAGTTAGAACATTAGAAACGAAGCACACATTTAAATTCGAGACTTGCCTCGACAAAACTTTGCTACACATCATTTGCTCCTTAGGAAAAGATCCTTAATTGAAAACCTGGTTGAGGCCCTTCTTCGCAGCGATAGCACATTCAAAAGTTCGAATTTCCAAGTTATGAAGCGAAACTTTCAGACTGTTTGCGGACTGCCGTTGTTTGGTGGTTAGTTTGCCACCAGCCAGGTTCAACTCTTCCAACGACATGATATCAAAGTTGGAGAACAGTCCCTTAAATAAATACAATTTAATTTATTCAATGCAAAAAGTTCAGAAGGAAATTTTTAAAGAGTAAAAGTTGGATGATATTTGGGAATGGAAAAACAATGTTATTCTTTGTCACGTTCAGATTCTTAAGATCTAGATGTCTGCTTAAACTTCTACATTAATGTCATCATCCGTTTCAGATGTGGATATGAATGACCTTCGTCGTTGTGTTGCAGAGTAAAATATCACTCATAGAATCAGAATATTTGGTAATTGTGCTGTTGTACTTCAGTGTGTTGTGGTTCCTAAAGTTAAGTTAACTTTTGGCTGTACTATTCCAGTAGTATTCATATTTCCTTACAATTTAATGACTTCTACCATCTGTTGCCATCCTTATCAGCTAAATTACATGGAAGCCTGGCATTAGGTACTGGTTGCAAATTATTAGTTATTATTTATCAGTGATTACTTCTCGTTTGAAATTCATGAAGCGCTTAGACGACGCATTTCCTTTGCACTGTATGCTTACGTATGCTTGAGTAATGGACCTTTTCTCTGAAATTACATGCATACCACCTTAAATGAGTCATAACTACGTTTAGCTATTTTCTTCCGAGCTGGTTTTTCGTTAAGCTATTGTCGCATCATGGTTTGCTTTGCTACTGTAACAAACTTTTTTTCAACAATATCGCAGAATTATGAATAAGGATTGCTAAGCGGGAGAGAGGTGGGAGACCAAATACCATAGTGGCGATCTATCGTGAGACTGTTGCAGCGTTAGATTTGAAGTCGAAAAACCATGGGCTTCTAGCCCAGTCACCAACCACTGACTTCCGCGGCAACTGAACCCATGTCACTTTGTGATGAGGAAGGAAAAGACCACGCACTGTACTGTCTGCTTAGATGAACTACTGCCGCCGGGAATAGCATATTCCTGCTAGTCGTCTGGTAATAGAGTTTAATTCAGTATCATATGCACCATAAAATTGGGCTTGCCAATACGCCCCGCATAGAAGCACAAGAAACACCGACATTCTAACGTGTATGACCCTTCCATTTCTTGTAGTAGCGCGCATTCGATGCCTATGGTACCAAATATGAAAATCAATGTCTATGTTTCCTTTCATTCGACACGTTTTGTTACGTGCAGAGACAGCAATTCCAGGATACAAAATTAATTCAATATTAATGAGCAAAAACAGTCATGGTGATCTGGGTAAACTAGTGAAAGCAAGATTTCGATGTCGCTGATCAGCAGAATATATACAACTCCATTCTCCAGATTCGCGAGTATTCTCATCGCTTGTTCATTTCTAGTGGCCTACAGGACCTCTGTTAGGGTTAAAATGTTTTTATACAGCCCAACAAAATAATGGGGTTTTCTATCTATGAACTACAAGTGCTATCATAATATTAAAACGCGTTTTGCTACCCTTCTAAATGGGGGGGAAGGTTGGTGGATAACTCCGCATGAATCCTGAGAATCGATTCTCATAAAATAAATTCACTTTGTAATGGTTACGTTACCTGCGTTGATATTAAGACTTAAATCCTAATTAATAACTTATTCATCTAGTTTTTCCTTGTACCTTTATAATCAATAAAATATTTCGAACAGCTGACTGGAAGTCAAAAACTAAAGGCTGATTTAGGCTTTGTTTCACTGCTGTTTCTTTGCTTATGCCAATTAGTTGCTTTTCTAGCTATCTCCTTTGTTGAAGAGATTTTAGTCAGTTACTTATCCATGGTATTACGATGTATCCAGTTGTTGCTTTTATCATTGCGAATATCGAATAACAGAACATTACTTTCAAATCAATGATGACAGCATTTGCGTCTGAGAAGTTGTTGCCCAAGGAACGGAAGTTCTCGAGCCGTAACAAAATCCGATTGCTCTTCCATGCAGCTAATGTCAGCACGTTGATACCTTCCGGAAGTTCGTGCGCTAAG